CAGAATAAGGCGGACAAAGTGATCGGGAGGCGAAAGCACGGCACGCGGGAGTCGGGGCGAGTCCTGTCTCCGGGAAACTATGTTAAAAGGCAGAAACGAGTGTAAAGGGAAAGAAAGACCGCGGGAGGATGGGTGGGGTTGAATGCGAGGAAAAGGAAACCGTGGCGTTGGAAGAGGGTGTATTGAACGTAATGTGCCAACTCCGGCGGGCGGTAAGGGCTGCGGAAGGTGTACCGACTGCCGAATGAAACCTTGAAAGCCAGTTTGAATAATTGAACGCCAGTCAAATTTACGTAACGAAATAGCTGTGAGATGGAAAGTCCCGGAGATCGTCGATTTACTTTCGACTTGGATCTTGTTATCTAACAGCTGAATAGAGGAAGAGAGGTGGGGTTTAATAAAGGCAGAACGAAATTTCATTCGTTTTTTTCTTCTTATTATTCTGGATCCGTGTGCTCGAGGAATATTGGTAAATAATTCACGTGGAGGGTGGGTAGAGGGAAGAAACTGTTTCGAGGGGACAAATATCACGAGTGGTGAATCAGATTTTTAGAAATTCGGATTCGTTGCATTCAGATATTTTATTAAATTTATTTGCATACTTATTATAATTATTATTAGACGTGCATATTTTTTTACTATTCTGAGGATGTTCTGAGGAAATTTTATAGACACAAAACTCGAAGACATACATCGATGCTTGTCATGACAAATAGAAATTCGAAACATCCATAATAAATTTTACCTCTACTAGACATCGAGTACGTTCTTCTCAACTTATTTCATTGACACCTCCGAATTTTTAGTCGGCAAACGCGACACTATTCCACCGTTCGAAAAGTGTCGCTACCAGATTTAATTTATTCGCGAATTTCCCTACTCGGGGTTTCCAGCGCTGCGAACTAATGGTGTTCGAAGGTGGCACGTAAGCCGCTGTTCGTCTTGGAGAGACGTTTAATGGATGCAAAGGTATTATTTGTACGGATCGGGGCGAGGACAGCGGGGATCGCGGCAACCATTGAGGATCGGGGGCCGTTAAGTTCCGCGATATTTCATTTTGCACGCCCGACCGGCTGCCCGTTTCTCTTGGCTTGTTTACCTAGAGAAATAACCGGTTGCTTCGATGGTCCTATCCTTCAATTACGGGGCTCTCCGCTGCAGGTTTCCACTTCTCGGGGCAAAGTAAACCTAATTCTGGCCGCCCGTATTGTGTCTCTTCCGTTCTGTTTGCGTGCGCACGAGCGTGTACTTGTGGACACAGCCAGCGTGTGTGCCCTGTGTCTGTTTCCCTTTCACATTTCTGATCCCGACAGGATCTAAAAACCGTCGAGATTCTCTGACCAGGAAATTTCTATGAATTTTTTACACCGCCAAAATGGGGCTTCGAGAGATAAGAGGGGATTTTTCGTTTTGCTTCTTCTCGCGTGATTCGCTTCCACCTTCCTACCGACGAAGAACTGGTTTATTCGCTTGCTTTGCAGGTAAATACAGATGGTAATTATCCTGCAACAATTGCAGAGTGGAAGTCTATTTTTGGCGTTGAATGAAGAGAGTGTTGTTTTGCAATCTGTTTCTCTGCAGGATATTTAAGTATTCGTGTTCGATATTTTTTATTTCATTTTAGCCGCGAATGTAATCAAAATTCGAAAGGTTAATTAACCAGAATTATTCATTTCTATCAAGTTTCGAAGAAGTAGCGTAGTGAATGAACGTTATATCGAGTAATAGGATATTTGCTAACTAAATTGAATTTGCAAAGTATACATATATAAATCTTCTGAGCAAAACACATCTATTATAATTTCTCTGATCCCAAAAAATAATCGTACGTATACATTTAAACTGAATATTTCATACACCATGAGCATATGTCTCATGTGTCTATCAATATAACTAATCCTGCCTCAATTAATAAAGGAGGCAGAAAGACTCATTTCAGAGTACAAATTTATCTTTTTCGTCACAGCTGTGCAATTTTTCAACGCAGACACGAATGATAAAAAAATGTTCAGCCCTATTACGCCCGTTCAATTTAACCAAGGGTATTTCTTATATTTTTCCAAACGATGTTCGAATCCAGCGTTAGAGCTGTTCCGAAATAACGAACACGCGGTATTGTTTTTCGTTTTGACAACGAGGTTAAAGAGGCCGAGCAGTAGAGAGAGAGAGAGAGAGAGAGAGAGAGAGAGAGAGAGAGAGAGAGAAAGAGAGAGAGTAGAAAGACGAACGTGTTTCAACGCGTTTCAAAATCGTATATCCCAGATTTAAACTCCATTTGAACTCTCGACCGAGCGCTCGATGCTTCCTACACGCCTGCAACGCTCGCATCGGTGCATAAAACAAAGAAAAAGGTTCCGAAACAAATCTGGCCTCGTGTAAAATTAAATCTCAATTCGTCCTCTCCCGTTTCTGTTCGATTTCTCTTAACTTTGCTGACTCGTTTCCTACACCCGGAATTATTATGCCATTCAGTGGCTCCCGTTAAATCGTAGCTAGCACAGGTGAGTAAACTTCGAATCCCTTTTATACATTTTCTCCTCTGCATTTCTCTTTCTCTCTCTCCATTTCGCTCGTGCATTCTTTTTTCTCCCTTTATTTTTCCGCCTCCTTTTTTTTCTCTCCTCGTACTCGGCCGAGAAGCATGATTCGCCGAAGTTACTTCCCACGCAAAATTCCGCAGACGGCGCGCGTTTCCAACTGTCGAAGAATTTTCACCGAAGTATAAACGTAGTTTCTAAACGCTGACGAAGAGCCGAACGTGTTCCCGGTGTAAAGAGCCGCGATGGGACGACGCGTCTTCGCCAAAGGTAGACAGGAGATTGACAGAATTTTTCGAAATATTCCCGTGCCTCCGCGCGAAATTTAATATTAACCATTCGAAGTTCGCGAACCGTCGTTCCGTGGATGTAAAATTTTGAAGAAGCTACGGGAAGAGCGCCAGCTGTAAACATCGTTTACGGGAACACGTGTTACATTGCCTCTGGGGCAATTATGTTCGATGAAAAAGTTTTCTCGTTCATAGAAACAGAGAAAATATGACGCGTATCGTAGGCAGCTTGTAAATTTTACCCGGGCATTTCGTGGTTTAATCGTGTAATTCAAATGAGTCAGGAGAAACTCATATTGATGCACTGAGAATCAGGATTTAAATTATCTAAAATATTTGTGAAAATTTCAATCAGTTTAATTCCAATATTGTTACGTTGCTCCTTCCTCGAGATTAATAAAATAACTTTATGTATTTCTTACATCATATTTTAATTTTGTTTTGTTTTTCAAAGACAAAAACATACATATACCTGGTGAGGATCCTGTACAGTTAACGCAACAATCCCGCCAATTATTATTTAATTTCACTTCGGTTAAGGGGTGTCTCCTAAAGTTAAAGACCAAAGAGTGTCCAAAACTTTCGAGCAGCTTACGTGAAAGTGACGACACCGTTAATATCGCGCCACTCCACAAAATGATTTCACAGCGAGGCAGCGAACGATCAGTGTAAAGACTTATCCGAATCGACGTCGCTCCACCAAATCTGGGATTATCTTTATACGACAGACGATCGTTGCAGGGATCTCGTTAGACTCGTGTCTCTCCACTCTGCCACCCCCTCAAGTCCCATCCATATCCTTCCTTGTCGCTTTCCCTCTTCTGGCACCTTCGCCACCAGTTTGGTTCACTCTTCTCGCCCGGATAAGGGATGAATAATGTACTCCCCGACCTCGACGCAAACCTCCATGCAGCCTGAATGACAAATCAGTTTGCCGTCCGAGCCAGGTCACGAATCGACGTCAGCTTCTACTTCTGCCTTTTTCCTTGGCCCCCCCCCCTCCCCCCCCCCGGACGAGCCATCTGAATTTGTACACGACCTGTAGTAGCCCGCATCCGGATTCTGCGCCAGAGCTCGAGTGCCTCCCCCGTTTCTTTTTTCATGCTTGGTTGATTAATCTCTTACGCTTTGACGCTTCGACGTTCGAACTGCTCGAACCGTGACGACATTTGTTCATTTTTGGCATACTTTTAACGAGTTGGACAAGCGAACGTTGTACTTTATCAGTTCTTTAGGGAGCTCATTATTGAGGCTATCAAATTGGTGTTTCTTTTGTTTTACTCGTTAAGGTTCCGTATTGTATTTTACGAGTGAAAGAAGAAGTCTTGTTTTGATGATTCTATTGCTGGCAATGAAATTGTGACACACTTGGAAATTTGGGACGATTATTTATGAGTGTGTGTATGATGATTCTCTAGAATTATTATTTGTCGTGCTCAATTTTTGTCTAAATTATGTATATACAGTCAGTCTCATACAGATTTCTATTAAAGAAATTTGTCTAAATAAACTTATGAGTTTGATGTTTTCAAATTAATGTTTCATGATAAGTATTTACACGAACAAACTTTTCATTTAAATATTTTAATAATGAATATTTATTTGGGAGCATCAAAACTTATCATTTAATTTTGACAAATGTCTTCAATTGATATAGAGGGTACGAATACTTATGGAACTGACTGTAAGTAAAATTTATTATAGCCCTTTTGAAATCATTGCTGTATAATTATGATTAAAAAAAAGAATAGGTATTTTCATGAACAATTTGCTTCATCTCTGGAACATTCCACTCTGGAACATTCCGAGTTCATGGAAACACTCTCCCATGTATGTTAGGTCGTCCCACAAGTTCATGCCACTTATTCTTCTGCTACTCATACTAATATCTGAAACGTGCCTTTAAGTGTTATAAAAGAAAGTAGTCTCTCTTATTTTACAATATTTTTCCACCTTCGTGACATAGTCATTATACCGTTACTATAAAATTTCTGTAGTTCTTTTATTAAATATTGACACAGTATGCAGCACGAACTTATGGGATGACCTAATATTTTCTCCCAAAGTACCATTTTCTCTGGCACCCTCGTCTCCCTGTCAATTCGGTGGAACCAGAGTAACAGCAACAGACGCTGAATCACTTTATTAATCGAGCGCACCATTTCTGTTTCAGAAGGTCGGCTGCGACTTGCGAGTAGGTAGCAACAAGAACACGGACGCGTGCGGCGTGTGCGGTGGAAACGGATCGAGCTGCCAATCGCGATACTCGTGGAGTTTGGAATCGATATCAGCCTGCTCGATATCATGCGGCGGAGGTTAGTAGCGGTTACCAAGTTCATTTGCTTGAAACGCTCGGTTCTCGAGCTGCGCTGGCGCGTACACCCAGACCAGTCCATTTACATCGGCACCGGGAGCAATGAATTCTAATGAACTTTGAGCCCCCACGAATCGTTAAACGTTCCTGCGGTCCTTTCCACCCTCTCCCAGCCCCCCAAAATTAATAACGACTACTTAGACGTTGGCTCGGTTTCCACCTATCGAGGGTGTTGCGCTTTGAACCGAGATTGCTTCGCTCCTTGCTACCCGAAGCTCCCTTTCCGGGCTCTGTTTGTTCCGCAAAGAAAATAGAGAGACCACCCGAAAGGTTGTAGACGATTCGACTTCTCTCGACCTTTGTTGCCTGCCTCTAATGTCGTCTAACCTTAACACCGTATTGTGGCGACTGTAATGACGAAGAATGGACGTGCAACCGTGATTTTGCAAATCCTTCATTTACCCAGTTGTCTTTCGAGCTTGCACGGTGAAGAAACTGTTCGGAGTAGTTCTCCCAAAGCGACAGAAATTAAAGCATTTCGAACGTGTGATTTCCAGGCTCTATTTTTCAGGTCCTCGGAATATATTTGAAAACCTGTGAAAGATAGATCCTCACGTACCTCGAACTTGATTGGATTGTATACGATATTTACGAATTTTTTCTGCTGATAAGAAATTTACCCGATTTTTATTAGTTTTCAAGATAGAACACTTTGAAATTTACTAGTTTTCAGCGGAGAAGTCTCGATTTGAGTGGCAAGTCATAAAAGTGATCCTACCCGATCACTCAAACTGAGACTTTTTCGCTGAAATTTAGTAAATTTCGAAGCGTTCCATCTTGAAAACTAATAAAAATTGGGTAAATACATGAAGGGTCAGTGAATTCATCTTGAAAAGCACTATCGCATGATACTCCCAAAAATATATAGTTCCATTTAAAAAACGAAACTTCACCATCATTTCTTTTAAATTAATAATATAAACAAAATTTCGTTTACGCCACAATACAGAGTCCATTGTATCCGGCAATTTACAGACAAACAATTTTTTCGTATCATCAATAGCTATTATATAGAAATATGCGTCTGTCATACTTTAGCGTGGACACCCTGTACGTGTATAACCTTATTCATATACATATTTATAAAAAAAAACTTCCGTTGGTAATACCAAAACTATTATTCAATTTAGTCAAACTTCTTCAACAGACACAGAGGCTACGAATATTCATGGAATTGACTGTATATTAAGAGTGCAAACTTTAAACAACATCTTCGCCAATTTTCATGAGAAAATATTAACACTTGGACTAAATTGTATGATGAAACAATTATATATAATTTATATATTGTACATAAGAACTATCATTTGACAGGTCGTGGTAGGTGTTAATAATGGAAAGAGGATATTGTGATAACTAGACTGCGGAACTTAATGCAAAATAAAATTTTCGCGAACGTGCCTACAAAAATTGAACCTAAATAGGAATTTATTTTATTCTGCAAGTATTATAACACGAACTTTACTTTCCATCTTTTTTATATTCTTCCATATTGCTTATAAATGCATAAAGATCCGCAGTCTAGTGATAACTCTCCGTGTCTTCCACGCGGAATCGAGTGACGAATCAATAATAGAAAATGATCGAGGAAAACTTCACTTTGCTTTGTCCATTAGGGTTCAAGCTAGCGATGGCGGTGTGCAAGACCACAGAGATAGACGAGAGCGTGGTGGACGACAGCTATTGCGATCCGGACACCAGGCCAGAGAAGACTCGGATGCCGTGCAACACGCACCCCTGCACTGCAAAGTGAGTACCTTCTGACAAACGGAACTCCGTCGGCTCTGCGTGCACATTATCCACGTCAAAGAACGTTAAACTACTCGCGCTCGCTGCGCGAATTTTCCCATTTTACTCGAACGGACAGGCCACGTATGCTCGTGTACACGTGAAGAGATCGTGCGCTGTTCGACATATCGTTCGTCGATTTTTGCACACATCATCGAGTTGCAAGAACTCGGCTCCATTTAGAACGATGCTCTCGGAGATCGTTGCGATGATCGTTGAGGAAAGAAGTCGCGGTTCCGACAACGTCAGCGATTCGCTATTCTTTACCTGAGGAAAACATCGAGGTGACGTCAAGGGTTTTGCGGTATAGCGTCGATCGAGTTTGGGGTAACTTTATTTATGATTTTCTCGGACAGTTGGCACCCGGGGAATTATGAGGAGTATGTGTGAAGACCTCTCAAAGGTTGATTTTAGATTTATCGATATATTCCGTGGGATAGTGTGACGTAGTGAGATATCTAAGAGGTATTTACATCGGTATTAGTATGCAGATTTAAAATGGGAGTGATGAATTCTGCGAGACATTGTTGGGAGTCGAAATACCCTGCAAAGTCGAAGATGTGGATTCGTGAAGAGTCGTATAAAAAAAGATTGGGCAATTCTAGTAATTCTGGGTTGCCTTGCACGATCATATTCCTCGACTTAGAAAATTTCCCTCGGAGACTGATCTTAGAATCATATAGGTATCGCGTGTCCCTCGATTCTACATATTATAAATACACTGCGGATCTTTATGCATTTATAGGAAATTTGAATGTCCAAGAAATTACAAAATGCAAACAATATGGAAGAATATAAAAACGATTGAAAGTAAAGTTGATGTTGTAATATTTGGAGAATAAAATAAATTCCTATTTAGGTTCAATTTTTGTAGTTTCAATTTTTGTAATTATAAGGAGCTGAAATTCTAGATTTCTTCTTGCCTCTACAAGAATTTTTCCTAAGGTACAATAATAAAGTTATCTCTTTTCTATATTAAAAAACGCCAATCCTCGTGCACGGAATCAATCAAAAAACAATAAGAATAATTCCTAAGCTGTTCTATACGGCACAAATGCCTCTTCAGTGCTTCCTTCAGCCGCTTATCGAGCATGTCTTAGTTTCACGACGCCATCTCCTTCCGTTCGACTCGCACGTACGAACTCAGGTGCACGAAATTCCCCCCCGTGGAAATCGGAATTCCCACTTTTCGGATTAACGCCGGCCAATCTTCTCTGACCAATTTTCTCGCGCTGCCACGAACAAAGCAACCATTCCCGATTATTGTCGAACAAGGCAGTCGCCTGTACGCGTGGTTGTGCACGGTCGCGACCAGCGGACGAAAGCGCGCAGAAATGGATACCGGTGGTCGCGTAGACTCGAAAAGCTCGCTGGGAACGATGGGCCGGAGCTTTCAAGCGAACTGAACGGTCATTAGTCGAGGGAACGCTTCGGAAAGAGCAAAAGCCCGGCGGGCCTCTTTCTGAAAGAGACCTGGAAAAACAAGCCCGTTCCTTTCCGCTGGGATACACCCGTGGAAAACACCGATTGCGAACACTTTCGACGCGACAATCGCTAGCTGAATATCGAAACGGGACATACTTGGCACTGCCTGGATTGTCGGTGTACCGAAATTATTGAGCACTGTCCCATCGATTGCTTTCCAACCCTGAAACAGGATACATTGGTTCTACCCGCTATCTGTTTTCTTATCGATTTTCAACATTCAGCATTCGAAAGATTTCTTTAACAATGGAAAGTGACATTTGTGAGTATTTTTAAATAGAAGAAACAACGTCTTTTCTGTAGATAACCTAAATAACTCACTTGTTTTTGAAGATAGGAGAAAATGCATTTGACCAAACTTACTTGGTATTGGAAGGCTCATAATCTGTTATTACCAATTTTTCTGTAGGTGGAGATATCAAGATCAATTCTGTTTTTTGAAATGGAATGGTATGATTTCTTACAGTCTGGTAGAGTTTTTCAAGACGAATACAATGACCTATTATGAAGGTCGTTCGAGGTCACCCAAAGTCAACTGCAATAGAAAATAAATTGTCTTAGTACTTGAGTACTTTTCCATGAAAAAAAAAATAATATGTAGAGGGCATAAATGTAAAGGAGAAACAAATTTTCTTATCATTTCTCAAATAAAATTCTAGTAATCAGTTAGCATTCAAAATTCTAGTAATCAGTTAGCATTCAAAAAATAAATTTCATAACATCATAATTATTCTCGACAGCTGAGTGAGACTCTCCACCCTTCAGCATCAACCTCATTACCCCAACTCACCACTTTCTTGCTAATCCTTGTTGTGGACCTAACCCAGACATAACCGCATCCGAAATACATGGGAAAAAATATGTCCTCCTGGCCTCTCTTTACCCGCCGTATTATTGCAGCGTTCCATGATTTACTCCGTCCATTTCCGCGTCGCCAAAAAAGAGCCTATAAAGCCTGCGCGCGAAACGAGAAACCACTGACTATCCGAAGAACAATTCGTCCAATAATACGACTTTTTTCCGAGTAGATGGATCACGGTAAAAGTTGTTTCTTACCCTCTTCGCGATCAGACTCGCCGTAAGAAAACTACGCGAAACGACGCGTCGACCATAAAGTCATAGTCACGCAGGGATCACTGTACAGCCGCCTCCTCCGTGGGCATCGTGCTCCTGAAAAAGTTATTTAACGGAATTCCTGGACTTTTACAGTGCCCCGAAACGCGAATTCACGTCTGTAGAACAAGTCCCTGTTCCATTTGATGATACCTGTTGTAGCGTTTCCTGTTCAAAATTACGACTGGTTGCGAGGAAGAACCAGAGACAGTTTATCTCCCACGACCCACGGAATATGGTTCTGTTCTTGCCTCGATCCACGCACGGTATGCAACTATCCGGGGTAATTTACGACGAACGGGGGAAGACTTAGAGAAAACTCGGAAATTTGGAAAATCTTGACGAGCAATGTTTTATCTTTGTATGGGGCTTATTCACGCGCGAGGAATATTCCTGTAGGTTCTGTAGTTAATTCATGCATGGTCTTGTTCAGAATAAGGAAAATATTTTTTATTATTTAGGATATAAATAGTAGTTTGTCTAAGAATGTGCTATTTTAGTACAGACATTTTATTTAATAAAGGTTCTTGTTCAGAGGATAACAAGAAGAATATTTTTTATTATTTATGATATACATAGTATTTTATCTGAGAATATACTACTCTA